CAAGCAAAGGTCGGGTGGCTGCAAAGTCACTTCTGCTCTGCCTGCCACTCAGTCTGTCATCAGGCACTAGAGTGTTTCCTGTCAGTTATTAATCCAGTTTACGTAAAGGTAGATATATCCTTATGTTGGTTTAGGTAATTTTCACATAAATTTACATACTTTATTCAAACGTAGGCTAAAACGATGTCTGAATACGTGGCTCCTTCCTTATTTTGAAATGCAGAATCTCCTGGTGGAAGAGGACGATGACTTCAGCACAGTCCGAGATGACATTGGGAGGGAGGACCCTGCTCTGGGGAAAAGGAAAAGGTAACGTGAGGTTTCTCACTGTCTCATGGACGCCGAGGCCTCTGGACGGCTCGCTCTTACTCACTCGGAGCTCTGGCCGAAGCCTCAGGTCTCATTACAGGGCTGAGCACTTTGGAGAAACTTCGTGTCCTTTAGAATATGAACCAGGCCTGTGAGCTTGGGACAAAGATGCTCACAGCCTCACCTCGAGGACGCAGCCACACAGTTTCATCTCCTCCCCCCTCCCCCCCAACTTTCTGGGTCTTTCCTTCAGACACAGAGGTCTCAGTCACCTGAAAACGGGCATTCCCCATCACAAGTTCCACCAGCTGTCACCTGCCCCTGGTGGCTGCTCCAGAGCTGCCTCACCTCACTGACCTCTTCCTGCCAGGCTCCTCAGGAATCAAGTCCCCCTGCTCTCCCCGCTCTTACCCTTTCCTCTTCTGTGTACAGTGGGCTTGCTCCCCTGGCCTCTGGGCCACCTGTATCTCCCAGGACCTCCAAACATCCCCTGAAACCCACACTTCAAACCCCAGTGCCCAGACCCAGCTCACCACTGCGTCGTCACCTCCATGCAGGCCACACCAGGGGTGCCAGTCCTCCTTACTTGCTCCCCACTTTGGTCTCCTGAAGTCATTCCACACCCCTCGACCTGGGTGGACCCCGTGTCAGTGACTGTGAGTTGGTGACAGCCTCTGTCTCCCGCAGCCAGGAAGCACTTCGCGTGCAGAGCAACGGCCTTCTCTCCAGTGCAGAGACACCTGGCCGGCCCCACAGACCAGAAGCTTCTCTGTCCATCCACGTGGGGAGTTTCAGATAGCGCCGGCACCGCTGAGGTCCCTGTGGGCTCAGGTCCAGTCAGAACTGGTACCAGGGCCTGGCCAGCAGCGGGCTCTGCCCCTGCCAACTTTGCTTGTGGTTTCGTGAGAGCAGGCTTGTAGGCTGCTTCCACTTTATTAGAGGGACGTTTGGTCTCGGGCCAGGCAAGTGCACTTTCTCACCGGCCTGCACAGCATGGCCACCGAGGGACTCCCAGCTGGGCTGTCTTACAGGTGCCAGTGAGACTGCACTGGACCCAGCCAACACAGTTACAAGAACATTGCCTAGTTCTGCATCGACTCCAGGCTCGCATAGCATGTTGGCCAGTGAAGTGCACACAGTCCACTCTCCTCCCTTCACTGTTCAGACAACGTAGTATCTGCATTCAGAACTTCTGAGAGCTCAGCACGCTGATGGGCTGGCCAGGCTGGTGCAGGACACAGAGGGAGTCTGTTCTAGTTCAAAGTGTGTCGTCCATGATCAGAACGTTCCGGAAGCCTGTGCGCTGAGCTAATGGTCCGAGAAACCTCTCCTGAAACAAACAAAGGAAACGTGCACAAGCTCCTTTTCCTCCCCCTTCGGCATGGCCAGCTATGGATTTAAAAGGTGTAACTGGCATTTATGACAAATGCTGCATCTGTGTTACGAACCGACTGACACTTAGGACACAGACGATTCACTTAACTCAGTCAAAAGTGGGATTCCTGAAAAGAAAGTAAATTCTTCACTTTTATGCCTCCAACAAGGCGAAGTACGGTTACAACGTCACACAAATCTCTCATCAGCCCTTCATCACCGACATTAAGATAGCACTTCCATGTTCAGAGGTGGACGAGGTCTCCTGTCCCGCTCGCTGAGAGAGGAAGTAAGTGGACATTGGGTTGGATGAGCCCGCTTTTGCCTCCTGTCCCCCTTCCAGCCTCATCAGAACCAGCTGGAACCCTCAGTCTCCTCCCTATTTGTCTGAGGTTGTTGGGTCTAAACTGTGCTAATTTGTGAGAAGTTGGACTTTCACTAGCAAGCTGCCCCCATGTTCTCAACACTCAGCCCGCCTCAGGATGCGCACTTGGGGTGGCGGCATGTTTGTGAAGATCCTGGACTGTGAGCTCAGTGTGGCTGGGAGCCCAGCCCTCGGTGCAAACTCTCCTGTTCCTTTTACTGTAACTGACACGTCTCCTGCTGCACCCTTCGTGTCATTTTAAGGTAATGAAGTAATGTAATAACTGAAAGCTTTGCTGTTGAGAAGCCAGACACCTCACTGGATGTGACTCACCAAGACAGAGGGGGATGGGTGGGTGTGCCTTAGGGTCCGCAGTGAGCCGCCAGGGCCTCCAGCTCCCTTTTTTCTTAAAGTTGCGATGCACTGGGGCTGCAGAGAGAGCTGTACAATTTAATAAAGAACAAATAAAGTGTCTTCACTTTCCATTTTAAGCTGACTGCTTCGTGTTCCACTTGGACTTTTTTCCCCCGAGTGCATGTCAGATGCTAAATAAGCATGGTTTATATTTGGAAATACTGTATCGGGACCACAGTAGAAACAACAGAAGCATGTTTTGGTTTTAAATAAGTTCAGATTCCTGGGAAAAACTGAAGAAACTGCAGTGGCCTTTTCCTTCTAGGGAACAGAACTGGCATAGGGTGCAGAAGACAGTTACTCGCCCTGACATTTTTCTGCCAAAAGGGGTTACAAGAATTCCAGTAATCCATAACTATGGCTTCACAGGCACGTTTCCCTCTAGAACGGACTTGACTGTGCAGTATTACAGGCCGTTCACCCCATCGGGGAGAGGGCACGGCAGCTCATCTCATTCTGTTCTTGATTGTGTCACATCTAAAGCAGGGCAGTAATGCGAGTCAGTCAAGTACACAACAAACTCATTTTGTGTTCTGGGGACTCACTACCTTTCAAAGAGGAAAGTGAAGCAGTGAAATTTACACAGGTCGGGAGGGAGAAATGTCTACATTCCCTCCAGTGCTCACCCCTCCCACCCAGGCACCCTGTGGCGCTGGCCTGAGGACTCCTGGCTCATGAACCTCAGAGCTCACAGCAGAGCTGCGGCAGCCGTTCCAGGTGCTGGTGCCTTTCTCTGCTGGTTTCCACCTCCCAGAGGTTTCCCCCAGGTGGCGAGACGCCACCAGCAGCGCTAGACTGACATCCTCTCAGACTCTGCCTCATTCTAGGGCTTGTAAAAGTCCTGGGCCTGACACCCATGGGCTCAAAGTGACAGCCCACCTTGCTGTCACTCCATTCAAATAAAAGCAGAGGGAGAGCAAGGCAGGTGGGGTTGCCCACAAGAGACCCCAAACAGAAACATCAAATGTGACAGCACCCAACTTGATGTTAACAGCTAGTCCACCTACCAGCGGACCACACACGTCCCCCTTCACAGGCAGCTCCTGCTCCCCACCGTCTTGGGGGTGGACAACAAGGTCCTCTGGGATGTAACACCTCAAGGTTCAATCTACAGCTAAATGACATGTAAGCCCAGCCTGGAACCACGTACACAAGGAGTGGTATGACCACAATGAAACCTCTCTTCCGAGAAACAGAAGACGCCCAATGCAGCAGTCACAAGCCCAAGCTGCTACACGATGGCACAAACTCCCCGCCCACTTGTGAGGTGAGCCCCTGCCCTGCTGCACTGGCCACCCTGTTCTGCTCCGGAAAGGCTCGCACATCCGCAGTCCCTGTGGGTACACCTTCCGTGGGTGTTGGGAGAACCTCACACTTGGGCACTGCCTTCCCGAGGAGGCTCATCCTGGAGGCCTAGGGACTGAGGTGCCTGGGGACCAAGTGAGCACAGGCTTTCGTCTGCCAGCTTGGAGTTTGGCTGGCAACACCATTTCCTTAATGGCTCAGAGACTTATGGTTGAATCTGCCTCTGAACAACGTGAGCCAGGGAGCCTTTACCTCCCCGCCAGTGCTCACCTTCCATGTGTCTACAACCCGTTCATGCTTTTGTGATCCAAACTGAAGAGGCTGAGCACTCGCTTCTGCCTGATACAGACAGGTTCTAAGGCCAGCACCCTGGCGGGGCTGGTACAGTCAGAGCTGCCCCCCCCCCCCCCCTGGGAGCAGCTCCCCTGTGCAGCCCACCTCAGTGCTCTCAGAACACACCCTCCAATGAGGCCTCCACACCACCACCATCTGCTCAGAAGTGCCCAGTCTGCTCAGCTTTCTCTGCACCAGTTCACCCATCTCTTATAGGGGCCCTGGCCCCACACCTGCCTAATCACTATAACTCATGTCTCTAAAAAAAGCTTTTGCTTTTCCCATACAAAATCATCAACCTCGATACTCACTTCCATTTTCAAGCCATCCATGGGCCAGGGTAGCTGCTGGAGGACCAGCCATCAAGTCCACCCTCCAGGGCAGCAGCAGGAGGAAAGAAAGGCATGCTCCCAGGTTTTTAAGGGAACTTTCTGGAAATCCCAGTAAATACTGAATCTTTTTGACCAAAAGTAAGTCACATCAGTCAAGCTGCAGAGGAGACATGATCACAGCTGCAGGGCATATTTGGGCGCAACCCTCTCCCCACTACGGTGCAGGAAGGAAAGGAGACCTGGTGCTTGCAGGCATCAAGCAGTGGCTTCCACAAAAGCTAAGAATCTTAGAAATGCTCAAAATTAGATTACACAGCACGGGGCCAGCACTAGGGTACAGTGAGACCTTGGGAACAAAATGTAAAGGCACCCAAAAACTCAGTAAGCAAGCTAGGTCATTTTCAATACAATACTTTTGGAAATCAAAGTTAATGCAGAAAAGCCTATGATGAACAAATTCAACTTATTTTTAGAGCAGCTGAAAAATGTCATTCTGATGCAGTTTGGAAGGATTTGGCAACCGACATTTTATGTCAAAGTACAAGGAATGAGGACAAGAAATCAGACAATGAGAGATCCAAAACAGGTTTGTTTTATTTACACACAGAACCACTTATTTACAACCCCTGACGTGGACTATGTACATAGCAACACAGCAGGCATATGCTCCACGGTGAGTGCTGTATAAATTAAGATCATAAATATGAGGGTGAGTCCCACCCGAGAACACAAAACCTTTTCTCCAACCCTCTCCAGGGATCCTTCCTGCCCCCACACTGACAGGCACCCCACCCTAGGACACAGCAGGGGTGCTGGAGCGGGCAGAGGTACAGCCCCACCTGCAACCACAAAGACACAAGGAACGGACGCCCGCCCTTCACTGACGCACCTTCATGCAAAACTGACGTTCATTCCTTTGCTTCTAACTGACGAGATTTTTTAAAATGGCTTTTATGTAAACAGTGCTGCTTTCATCACTGACAACGTGTTAACTTTAAATACCACACACGACCCAAACCTAACTCCCCCCGCACCTCCTCCCCGAGCTCCAGCCTGTCCTGTCCTGTCCCATCCAGACGCCCTGGGAACCTCAGAATCCAGGTGCCCACCTCGAACAGGGCAGTGCCTTTCTTCACCTTCAGCTGTTCTGATGGGGAAGAGAATCACGAGGCAGGGAAGGCAGACACAATTGCCTGGTCTCGTCTCCAATGAAGGTATGTGCAGAACACGGGGCTCACTCCAAACCCCGCCGCCACGCCACACGTGAGCACAGGAGTGGGCACCCAGAAGAACCACCAGTGGGAGCACCCCCAAACCAGAGACGGGTGCCGGGCCATGCCCAGGGAGGACCCACTGGGCACGCTGGTCAGAGGGGTCTGCAAAGTGAGTGGCAGGTAAATGCTGTTCAGCTGTGAGTCCCCAAGGGGCCCCTATGGGTGACTCTGGACAGCGCCCTGAGGCCTCCTGCCCAGTCCCCTCACAAGGTCAGCCCTCCCCTTTGGGATGGGGGATCCTGGCACCCAGGGGTGGGGGGTCATAGAACCCCCTTTTCCAGGGTGGAAGAGAGCCCTGTAAGGTGTGACTGTCTCTGGAAGGGCAGCAAGGGGCAAAGTCAAAGGCAGTGACACCTCCAGGAACCTGGGGCCTGGCAGCACCAGACGAGAAGCCACCCATGGGTCAGAGGCTCTCAGGACAGCCCAGGCAGCAGCCTGTTGTCTCACAGAATGGACATGCTGTCTCCAGAGAAATACTGACCCAGTGCAACACACAGCCTCCGTTGCAGGGAGGCCACCGGCCATCGGGTGCTCCTGGCCCCGGACAGCACCGAGGCTACTGCATCCTGGACACACAGGACCACGTCCCCCGCCACAGCTCGGGAGGGACCCGAGACATACGGGGCCAGGGTTCATCAGCCCTAGAACATGGCTACCTGTTTACCAGCTCCAGGAGGAGCGAGTGTTCCTTTCTTTTCACGTCACATTTGAATGAACAGGACTGGAAACGCATCCATGGTGCCTACGAACCAGGGAAGGCAGGACCTCATAATAAGCAGGGACATCTGCAGTGGGTGGCGGCCTCGTAGGGCTCCGTGGAGAACCGTGAGTGGCTGGCGGGAGACGGTGCCTGACAACGCGCTATGAAAGGGCAGAGAGGAGCCCTGGGACACTTGTGTGCAGCCCAGCCAGGCTGTTTCTGCTGGGATGCCCGGGGCCAGGGGAGGCCAGACCTGGCCCAGGATGTAGGTCAGCGAGCAGAGAGGTGGTGGCACGGTCACCCACATACACCACTGGGTTAGAATGGTGCGTGTCCAAAGGTAGCCATGTTGGTGTGCCCAAGGCCCTGGAGCTGGCCAGGAACAGTGTCCGAGAGGCTTCCTGTCACGAGCACAGGGCGTAGAAATAGCACCATGAGAAGGGCCCAGGACGGGCCCCGCCTCAGTTGCAGGTGGAACGGAGGACGCAGGCCGAGAGGGCGGAGGCTAGGCCTCGGTGGCAGGGGGGCTGCGGCTCAGCTCCTTGATGCCACACAGGATCCTCTTCATGTGGCCCACCTTGGTCACGCCGAGGTCCTGCAACGAGAGCACAGCACCCTGACGCCAGGCAGCAAGCCAGGCCCCGGGCGCCACCATGGGCTGCCCAGCAACTCTGCACACAAATGAGGGAAGTGATGGTGACACCAGATGGACGGGAACGGCATAAAAAGTGACAAGTGCGCAGGTGCCTCCACACCCCTCCTGTGATCCAGTCACTAACACTGTTGAGGGAACATCACCCAAGACAAAGACCACACACAACCGGCAGCAAGTAAAACCCTCCCTCCCCAAGCACCACTGCCCAGGACATGGCCCCGAGACCACAGCCCTGAGCTGGGCCAGGCGCCCCCTCTCCTGTCCCTCCTGAGATGAGGCGAGGCGCCCAGCCTGAAATGTAAGCCCGTGCGCATGGACACAGGTGAGAAGGGCTGCACTGGAGAAGCTGCCAGGCCCCCAGCAGCCACAGGGTCTCCCTGACTCTAATCGACTGTGTCACCAACAGAGGAACCTCTGTGTTCCGAGTCCTCCACCACAGGGAGCTCTTCAGTGACAACAGTTCCCATCCAACCAGGCTCAGCAGAGCACGGTCCCCCCCGCCTGTCTGCTCTGGCTCCTTCTGGCTATGGTGGGTAGAGACACCACTGCCCAGAGCACCGCACACGTCACCCTGAGTCGTACACGTCACCCTGAGTCGTACACGTCACCCTGAGTTGCATACGTCACCCCGCGTTGTACACAAAGGGCCGAGAAGAAACGTAAAGAGAATCCTGATCTGGGACATGGCCAGGTCAGAGGGAGGGGACAGACAGAGCCGCGGGCAGGCCCAGGTGTGGAAGTACCTTGAGGTCTCTCCGCTCCAGGTGCAGGAGCTCGGAGCCCCGGATGTCGTGCCGAGTGAAGATGTCCTTATACTCACAGAGACTGAGGTGCTCCAGCCAAGCAGCAACCTCCTCTGTCCCCCAGAGGTGAACTGTCAGAGACGGAAAAGCAGGAGAGCAGTGAGTGCCAGCGTCCAGCACCAGGCAGGCAGCAGCGGGCACCCGAGGTGCCCCAGACACCCCAGCAGCAGGCACCCTGAAACACCACAGTAGCCAGCACCCACGACACCCCAACAACAGGCACCCCAGAACACCACAGCAGCCAGCACCCACGATGCCCCAGCAACTGGCACTGCCCTGAGCTGTGCAGAAAGGGGTGCAGCTGCGGCAGGAGCTGGTGTCTGTCCCTGCAGCCCTGTCCCCGTGTCCCCAGAGGAGTCAGAGGCACCAAATGGAGGGAAAGTGGGTCTGGCTGTCCAGCTAAAGCCAGCTTTCCCTCCACCTCGAGCAGTTTCAGCCGTTCACCTCCTGGCACATAAACTTCTGCATCACACCAAAAAGTATATTTTTTGCCGATCTGACAAAAAATATAGGCATAATTTTGATTTATTCATTTCGGATGGCTATTGTTTTGCTGGCTGCTATGATTATTTTTTAATTGGACAATCTAAGGGAAAGAGGTCAGTGTCCCTGACTGAACAGTCAGGCACTGCATTTTTTAAACATTCTGCAGCACACTGGTTGAAAATCGCTGTTCTAAGAAGGTTCATTTCAGTTTGAGCCACAGCAGGAAGGGAGACACGCAGAAAGCTCATGTAGTCAGAGCCACAATCATTAAAAGAAACCCAATTTCTGGACAAACATGCAAAAAAGAATAATCAAAGGGCACTGCCCCAGCGGGCACCAATGCCACCCAAGCCCAGGCTGGACCCTGGCACCCGAGGGCGCTGGGGACAGCAGTGCTCAGGGCCGACTCTTCAGACAGAGACTTTAAGCACCAATTTGCTGACCCAAAAGAAAAATTTCCTTTAGTATCATTTTCTATTGATTTCACCGCCCACAAGAGCTGGTGGCCCAGGTCCCCGAGGTGCAGGGGCCTTGATCAGTGAACCGACTGAAAGGTAATCAGCAGCCCCACAGAGGAAGCAGGTCTGAGTGGGAGCTCTGTGTCTCTGTCTCGTCACCTCTGCTGTCCTCCCACCCCAAACCCCCAATCCAGGCAGGCAGGTGGCGCAGTGGCCAGTCACCTAGTCTACATGGGGAACAAGTTCAGGGCAGGAAATGACAACGGTCAGCACCCAACACAGAGGGGAAAGCAAGGCACAGTTCTGTAGCTGCAGACAGACGACTCCTGCAGGCCACGGGGGGGGGGGGGGGGGGGCGGGGGTCGGCCTGGGAAATCGGGGAAGAGCCACAGGACCAGGGGAGGAAGGGGAGGCTGGGAGGCACACACAGCGGCGCACACAGCCAGAGGAAGGAGGCAGGTACCCGGGGCTCCCAGGCTGCTGTGGGCATCTCTGTTCTTGCTGTTCTTCTCCTTCTTAAACTTGGTCACCAGGCGGAATTTTCCGCTGCGGCTGCGTTTGGAAAGATCCATCACATTCTGTGTGGAAAGCGAGAAACACTGAGAATCAGACCCCAGGGCACCAAGCCCCAAGTCACACCTGGATCAGAGAGGCAGCGGGGCCAAAAGATGCTTTGTTCCAAATTTACTTATTCTTGTGTTTTTCCTTTATTTTTAGCCTAGTGTTTATTGTTGATTTCTAATGCCTTTTAAAAGTGGTTTCACAGTGATCGCTGTGTGTATTTTCATATTTCACTTTTCATTTTACACCATGCATTTCCCATGTGATTAAAAAGCTTTGTAAATATTATTTAAACTAGAGGCCCGGTGCATGAAATTCCTGCACAGGGGTGGGGGTGGAAGTGTCCCTCAGCCTGGCCTGCACCCTCTCCAATCTGGGACCCCTCGGACATCCCTCCCACAATCCAGGACCACTGGCTCCTAACCACTCACCTGCCTGCCTGTCTAATGCCCCCAACTGCCCTCCCCTGCCGGCCTAATCTCGCCCCCAACTGCCCTCCCCTGCCGGCCTGATAGCCCCTAACCCCCTGCCAACCTGATCTCGCCCCTAAATGCTCTTCCCTGCCAGCCTGATCTCAGCCCTAAATGCTCTCCCCTGCCAGCCTGATCTCAGCCCTAAATGCTCTTCCCTGCCAGCCTGATCTCAGCCCTAAATGCTCTCCCCTGCCAGCCTGATCTCAGCCCTAAATGCTCTTCCCTGCCAGCCTGATCTCGGCCCTAACTGCCTCTGCCTCTGCCCCCACCATCACAGTTTTGTCCAGAAGGATGTTCAGTTGACCCGGTCTAATTAGCATATTACCCTTTTATTAGTATAGATATCAGTACCATTATAGGAAGATTATTAAATAGGTTATTTAGCCAATCTTCTAGTGCTTTCCCAGGCTGATGCCCCCCTCTTCCCTCCGTACCCCCCACCCACACGCCCCCGCCACCGTGGCCTGCAGGAGTCATCTGTCTGCAGCTACAGAACTGCCTTGTTTTCCCATCAGTGTCACGCACAACTTCCTAAATAAAGCTTTTCCTGCACTTTGCACTCTTCCCTTGGATTTACTCCTGGAGGCAGACTGTCAAGGAGGGGAGCAAGCGTGACCCTGGCCGAAGTCCCCACTGGACAGCCACAGCCCCATAGCGCACTCCAGGGGCCGGGCAGAGCCAGCACTGCCCAGCATCCCTCACTCGACTTTGCTTCCCCCCTGGTGGGCCTGTCTTCCGTGCACACAGATACCTGTGTTTCAAGCTGAGCATGTGTCACTGGCTGCACTTGCAAATAAAGCCACGTTCCCTATTCCCCAGCTGTGCCTTTTTCCTGCCCTCGCCGGCTTGGAATCCGCCCCAGGACCCAGCCCCCTACATCCCCACACTGACCCTCACGGTTAGACTTCGCAGCTTATGATAGGGACATTTGGTCACACTGAAAAACTGCATAGGGATGTTCACTGGCACTGCACCAAACCTACAGTTTGGAAATGACAAGTACCTCATGGTGGGAATGTGCTGTGGAGCCGCTCGCTCTCATCTCCCTGCACGCCCTTCAGAGTCGCCTTCGTGGACTTCCTATCACAGGCATTCTACGTTTTAAGTCCTCTACTACGAAAGTCCAGCTGCTCTGCTAGACCTTCAGCTCCCAGGCCATCAGCCCGGCTCATGGGTCCCCCACACAGGCTGGCACCCACCTCGCACTTCCCAGCGCTTCCTGCAGGAGCCAAACAAAATCCTGTTCCTGCGTTTATATAATTTTTATTAGTGTAAATGAGCATTACATTTATTTCTAACTTTTAATATGGATATGTTCATCCATTCATGACAGGAGACCAGTAGAATGAGGCTGATTATCAACATGTTATCTTACTTTGTCTCCCCCGCCTTTTATTTTTTATTAAAAAAAAAAAAAAAATATATATATATATATATATATATATATATATATATATATATATATGGAACGCTTCACGAATTTGCATGTCATCCTTGTGCAGGGGTCATGCTAATCTTCTCTGTATCGTTCCAATTTTAGTATATGTGCTGCCAAAGCGAGCACTCCCCAGCCTTTTAAAATACACACATTTCAGATAAATTATTCCACCAAGACTACTTCATTAGCAACTCTAAGAGACAATGCTCTCTTCTTTAAACACAATCACAGCACCATTATCACGCGAAACCACCACCAACAACCCACTTATAGCGAATGAATTCTCTTTGTGCCCAATCTCCCCAACTGCTTCACGGTCGGTCTGTCCTCAGTACGCTGATCTGAACCAGGGCCCTGTCCAGGTCCCCAAGCAACCTCAGTCCCCCCCGCCCCCCCCCCCGCCCCCGGCCACCCCCGCTTCACCCACCAACAAACCAGCTGTCTGTCCTGTAAGAGCTGATGGCTCCCTGCTCCTCCCCTGCAGCGCAAGGCTGCTCAGGACATGGACACTTTTGGGCAAGAGGAGGTCACTGGCTAAGCCCATCCCTCCCTTCCCTACCAATGACCTGCCTATGCCAGTATTTCCCAGGGGACAGAAAATGACCTTTTAATCCCGCTGCACTTTCCAGCTAGAGTTCTTTTAAAAATCATTTCTTTCATCAATTATTTGATTTAAAGAAATGACTTGTACGGATCTACTGATAACACTGAATTTTGGAATCAATGTGCTAATTTTAAAAAATAAACTGAAAGTTCTGGACATTTGTTTCACAATACTGTGAATACACTTAACACTAAAGTTAGACAGGACAGAGACTGGTACCTTTTATGTTTCTCCCCACAATTTAAAAAAATGAACTGGGACAATGTCCGTCTTTTTCCAGCTTAATGCTGCTTCTTACATGTGGAAGCACATTCCTTGGCAGTTTGCCTTTGGAAGCTGTATTTACTTAGATTATTTTGCAAGTTGTTCTGTGGCTATTCTTTTTTAAATGTCTTCAGATTTCAATTTGTATAGTTTAAATTTTTCCTGAAAAATCAACAGTCTCATCAAGATTTTAAAATTTATTACCATTTCTTTTACTATAACTTACTTTATTTTCTTGTGTTTTGTTACATTCCCTTCAACACTGCATTCTGTTCATTTTTTCTTTGATTATATTTGCCAGAGAGTGGTTTGACTTATTTTACTTTCCCAAAAACCCAGCTCATAGATTTGCCTTATTTTTTTTCTTTCAAGTAAATGACTTTCCTATTTGTCAGTAGAAATGCCACCATCCCCTCCAGGGTTCCTTGGGGCCTCTGCACTTCACCCCCATCTCCTCCCTCGCAAGGGAGACTGAGCCGGAGCGGTGGAGGGAGCACTGAGTGGCAAGGCGGCCAGCAGGGGAGCCACAGGAGGCCCCAGGGCCCAGTGCTGTTCCGAGGACATCTGGCTGCAATTTCTGGCCTCAGGTTCCATCAGATGAAGGCAATGCCCCAGCCCCTCCCTGTGTTGCATGCTGCCCTCCCTGAGTGCAGAGCGTTTCTGGTTTGTAACTAAACCTGCTCTTAGGCTCCACCTACCAGTACTATTTCCCACCGACTCCTGCAAGGACTAACACCTGCACTATCCCTTGAGCCCATGTCCGGGAACCTAGAAACCAGTGGCTCTAGACATGCTTATAGGGTCACCACAGGGACGACCTGTGGTGGTTTGTGTTTGGTTCTGTGGCGGCTGCACAGCACTTGGTGATATTTGTTTTTAAAACATTCTTAGGTTTGAAGCATTGGAGCCATAATCCCTGTGACATGGGCTTTTAGTACCAAGACCAGACAGTCCCAAACAAACAGGGTGGGCTGGTCACCCTGCAACCATGCACCAGGCTGCGAGCCCCCCATGGCTGCAGCTGGTCCTCTGCCCATGAACTGAAGACAAGCCTAGCCCTCCATTCTCCGTCTTCAGAGGAAATCTGTGTGGAGGGAGGAGCCCGACGTGGTCAGGGCAGGACGCAGGAGCACAATTTCCACTCCGAGTTAGCATCTGAGGCTTCCTTGTGCCGAGGGCTGTGCTGCTCAATGTTGGTGTCCAGCAGTTACCTTGTGGGATGTGTCACCCAGGGCAAACTTCCTCCTGGCCCACTCTGCTCGCTATCCCTGAGAGGAAGCAGCCTAGGGTTTGCCTTTACCCAGACGCTGCCCACAAAAACGACCCTTCGGCAAGCACCTGTCTGGGCTCTGCTGCCTGCTCTCCGCGGCAGGAGGTGACTGCATCCCAGGGCGCAATGTGCCTGGGGTCCTGTCTGTCCAACTCTAGAACCTGTGCCAAGTGGGGGGTCTCTAATGCGTGAAGAAGAAAAGTGTGAGTAAGTGTCAAACACACCAACTCTGTCCCTGTCAAAAACAAACTTCCAAAAAGCTGCCATTTAACCGACCAATGTTTGTCCACAGGAGGGGAAACAGTGGGCTGGGCTCAGCCTTCTTTCTACCCACTCCCTGGTCAGCAGGCAGTTCTGCTTCCAAGGGCAACACATGCCCAGTCACCAAGGGTCCTTCTCGATACCACCCCCCAACTCCTTCCTCCCGCCAGCCTCTCCACAGCATCTGACTAGAGAAGACTCGAGAAGCCATATCAGGGGCTACAAGACTGACATCATCTTAACCCCAAAGCTGTACAGAGCACACTCAATACCGGCACGTAGGGTGCCCACGCTGAAGGCCTGTGCCCACATACCTCTTCATCACTGGGCTCCAGGGGCTGGCACAGCCAGGGGGTGTCCACCAGCTTCCTGAGCTGTCGGTCCATCTCGGCAAGAGCAGCCCCCAGCCGCTCCTTCTGAGGGGGGTCCAACTGCTGCTCCCGCGTGGGGAAGAGAGACGCGCTGGTTATTAGCAGTAGAGCTGGGGCCACGCAGTCCCCAGGGCTGAGCTCACTCAGAGAGGTCCTCTAAACATCCCCTTCTGAGGAGTGTTGGGGGAGAGAATTAAACTCTCCTTTCATAAACAGTGGAGGAAACCACGCCTGCTGGACAGTCACACTCACAGGGCTGACGCTTCACCTGCCTCCCTGTGCCGTGGGGCCCTCTGTCAAAAGGGACAGACCAGCCCGCCAGCACCAGCTGCAGGAAATGCCCTTCCATTCCAGGATAGCATGGCACAATGGAGGGAAGAGCAGGGGATATTAAAACTAGACTTTTGGGGCCATTCTCCGGCTGTGTGACTTTTAGCAAGTTGTTTCGCCTCCTCGGCCTTTCAAGTCCTCATTTTTTAAAACAAGAAGGTTGGTCAGGCCATCCCTCGGCCTTTCCCTATGTTAGCTCCTGTGACCCAGTAACCTCCCCACCCTGAGTGCTTCCCCAGAGCCGCCGCTTCAGCCAGGTCTGCAGGGCTGAGTGAGGATGGGCAGTGAGCTCGTGTGCCTACCAGGGCCCAGGAGGATGGTCGCCGACCTACAGACGTCTAAGGGAGAATTCTGTCTACGATGACAAAGGCAGTCACATCTGCAGGAATCTGACATGCTAGGGATGGCGTGGGTGAGGTGTGGCCAGAAGTGTGTGCTCCAACCACACAGTCAGGTCACAGGATCTCTGAGGCCCCTCCCAACGATGAGTAGATTCTTAAAGCCAGAAAATCTGGACTGAAATGTGCGACAATGGCCAAGTCCCACAGCAAGAGCCCAGCTTCTCAGCTCACCAGGGCCATCTTCCCGGACAGCAGCAGCTCTGTCTCGCTGCGCAGGGCCTTCATGTTGTTCACCATCTCCAGGACAAAGCTGCAGTTCAGCCCCTGAGAACAACCAGGATAGACACCATGGAGGAGGCCCGAGGGCTACACATGCCCAGAGGAGCAAGACCGGAAAAGGGCAGGTACCTCCGTGGTTCTGGGCTTGCTGTACACACGGTCCATGGACTTGGAGCTGGCGTTGACGGCGTGGGCAAGTTCCTGCTCCATGTCTCGATGGGACTGAGCTATCTCTCGGATGCTAGAGAAAACGAGAAACACCACACATCAGAGCAGATGAAGGGTGGTCTAAAGTGGAAGCTGTAAGTGCACTGCTCCTAGGAATCCAGGACAGGCGTGCAGATCTGTGAGCTGGCTCTGAAAACACCCGTAGATTTTAAACTTCCGTCTACGTAAACTGAGTAGCTCTCAAAGAGGATCGGTGGAAAGAAATCAGAGCCAAGGGCAAGCAGAAACCCTGCTGGGCTGCGTGAAGGAGGCCAACCAGCACCAAGGGTTTGGGAGGAGGAACTCAACCCATGCATGCCAGCGATGGGCGTGGAGCCTGGCGCTCCAGTGAGCGGAAACTGACCTGTGGATAAGGGCTCCCGCCGCCTGCCCAAACTGGTCCATCTGGGTGGCCTCTTCCTCGGACAGGATCCCCAGGTGCAGGGAGAAAGACGGCGGGCGAGGCAGTTCGCACTTCTGCTTGTCTTCCCAGGACTTTAGTGTGTTCTCAAATGCCTAGGGCACGAGAACCCAGAGTTACACTTTCTACTGCCCTCTAGGTGAGCATGTCTCTACCAATGACAAGCACACCTGACAGGCTAGGCTCCCAGAGAGGGAGAGGCAGACTCTTCTACACTGGGGAAGAGAAACGGTCCTAGGAATTCCTACACCGTTGGCTTAATACCGGCGTCTAAAAAAGAATAATTTCCTAGAACTAAACATTAAAAACCCCCGAGTCTTCTTATAGAAGCAGCACAGGTGTGCCTGCAGGTGAGCCCTGGCCCCAAAGGCAGCCTCTTACCCTGTCTCGGGTGAGCATCTGGGCCCGGTTCTTGTGGATAATCCGAATGTATCCCGGAGGTTGGACCCAGGCCTCTCCGTCCACCTGCACAGGCACGCCCTCCTCACCCAGGATGGAAATCTTCACCGTGCGACACTGAGCAAACATCACAGCATTACTCGTGCACAGAGCTCACCAAGGAGCCTCACAGCCGCTGAGCACTACAGGAACCTTCCTGCCCTGCACCCGGCACAGGCAGCTGCCCTCTGGAGCAGCAGGCACCACACCCACAGCCAACACTGCAGTCAGAGCATCCCTGTCCAGGTCGAAGCTCAGGGAGCCTTAGGGTCTGTGCCCTGGCCCCACTGTCCCCTCGCCCAGAACTGCCTCTGTGGTCGCAGAGGAAATCTCAGTGACCAGGCATAAACGCCAGGCCCAGGGTCGGGACACATGGCTTCCAGGAGCCACTGGGTCCCTGAGCACATGCGACACCAAACAGAGCCAACAGCCCACAAGTGGGGAAGAATGCACTGCTCCTCTCTGCAACAAAAAATGCAGCCAAAGACCTAAAACAGTGAAATCCCAGCAGCCTCCTTTGGGAACAGGTGGGACAACACAGGCTGCGGCTCAAGTCAGCTGGTGTGTCAGCTCCCACCCAGGTTTCTGGGCATAAAGCACCACCCTCCCCTACCCCACAGAAATAAGTAATGGGGAGGGGCGGGGGGTGTCGCAGAAGCTACATCCCCTCCTGCACTGGGCCTCAGAGTAGCTAGGCGAGGCCACACTTTCTCCACCGGCCATATATGCTCAGCCTCTGTTCCTAAGCACAAGTTGCCGCTTCTGAAAGCTGCAGGCATGGTCCAAATCCAGGCCAGGCCTGTCTCATCTCATCCCACCTCAGCAAGAGAGGTAGACGGGGCACCCCCAGAAAAAGTCAGGGCAGAGAGCTCAGGCTGGGTGCTAATTGGTCCCAATTTTGAGCACCCATTCTTCTGGGCTCTGCACCAGGACGCATTTATTGGGGAGAGTGCAGTGTCAAGACTGTGGTTCTGGGCCAGGTCCTGCTCTCCCAGAGACGGCCTCCCAGGCCCTCCCTGCCTCCAGGACCACAGCCAGTACCTGGGCAATCCGGTGATGCTGCAACTTAATGACCCGAGAGACAGCCATCTGCATACTGCCAAACACAGCGACCACCTCCAGGATCTTATCATCAAAGGACGGAGCTGCGAAGGTCTGAAAGGTGGAGGCAGAGCTGACCTGGGCTCCCACTTCCCTGAACACATGCCACATACTTCTCCCTGTTAGGGCTGTTGCACTGGTGAAAGCAGACAGGCCCCTACAAGGAGGTGATGCGTCCTAACTGAAGCAGCAGCTACAGTATGAACCTGTTACTAAGATCCTGAAACCAAGCTGCCTAGGATCAAATCCCGAATCTGCCACTTACTAGCCTTGTGACCCTGGCAAGTCACTTCATTACCCTGTTCCTCAGTTTCCTCATCTGTAAAGTAGGATAATACTGGTACATGCCTCAAGGGGTTGTTATGAGGACTGACTATGTGCACAGTCTCAGAAGAGTGACCAGCACATATTAGTGTCCAATTAGTGTTAACTATTTTTATTAGCTCTTATGTACAAAGGAAGCCATGCCCCTGGTTAAAACCTACCACTGCCTCCCAGAGTTCTCAGCATAAATTCCGAAGTTCTCCCCTGGCTTATACAACCCCATGTGAATTCTAACTTCTCTGCACCCCACCCGCTGCACAGTGCCATCAGACAACTTCTGCCCCATGTCACTGTCCAGCCACTAAGCCTTCCATCTGCTGCTCCCTCTGCCTGGAACAGCCTCCTCCTCTTCTTCCCTCCCCCAACACTCCACCTGACCTGGCTGGCCCCAAATCATCCTTCAGGACTCAACATAGATGTCCCCTCCTCCTAGAAGCCTTCCCAGATCGCCACCAGTCAGGGTTGGGCCTGGCTTCTGCGTCACACCTGTGCCTCTGAGCACATCTGTTCTAGTCAGCCTCCCTTCTCATGAGCAGGGGACACCACCTGTCTTGCTCTCCACTGTACCCCCACTGCCAATACAAAAAAGGTGGTGTGCATCCATCCCTCTGCATCACTGACAGAGCACCCCGAGTGCTGATGCTCTATCAGGGCCCCAAGTGGCTAATGCTCCTTGAAGGGGCTGCCTCTCTGGTCACCGCCTCCCTGCCCCCAAGCTCAGGCCCATGCTAACCAGAACCCCTGTACGTACATCATCTTCCTTGGTGCCCCCCCAGAAGTTGGTCCCTCCGGCATAACTGGGAATATTGAGGACAGCAATTCCTTGGAGACTGGGAAGCGGGATGGGCCGCCCATCACACTGCGTGGTGGAGAAGCAGGAAAAGGAAAGGAGAGATTCGGGCATCAACCAGTCCTTCCTCACAGGCAACCCGCCCCAGGGCCGAGGAGGCCCCGCTGTGGGGGGCTCCCACCGAGGGGTCCACAGGGAGCAGCGCTCACAGGAAGCCCCCAGCTCACCTCCAGCAGAACCTTTTGCTCCAGGTTCTTATAGGTCCTGTGCAGCAGCTCTTTGGTCCCCAGCACCCCATACCACATCATGTTCTTGGTTCGGCTCCTAGAGAAGGAATGACAGAACGGGCGTAGGTCATGGCTTTCTTTCTAGTTAACTACAGTCATTGCTAAAAAGTGTGGGGTGGCATCTGATCACAAAAGGGTGAGACTCAGCGATTCTCAGCGACCCCTTAAGGAAGGACATGTTCCTGTTAGTATCTATGAAAGGAAGGCACAGAGGTATGTTTATTGACTGGAAAAGTAGTATTTCTCAAGAAAGTAATCATACCCTGAAAGGTAAAACTTCACAAAAATTTTATAAACCATGAGATTTCTGACTATAAAATTATGTTTACCACCCGACAATTGAAAAGCACATCTGTAAGTGCTGGTGATCAATGCTGCTGGGGGTTTCTGTCTTTTCTGGGTGTGCGATTTACAGGTGGAATAACCAGCCTGCCATCTCCTGACGCACTGTCCACTTCTTAGCACACTTTGTGTTGCCTGCCCCTGGATAGGAACCTCACAGACTTATGAGTCTCCTAAGAGACTCAGTCCCTCTTCCCATTGACTGGGGTCACTCGCTTTCTTATGCTGGATTTGCCCAAACCTGGACAGCCCTCGGGGAAGCCTCCTCTGAGCTGGCCTCTTGGACTTTCACCTGCTTCCACCCACCTTTGAAAGCACCTCCGTTTGCAGACACAAGGCATTCAGGTAGCACACTGCACATCCTTTTATCTGCTGACTCCAAAAATTACCTTACTGACCAGGAGAAATGAGGAAGACTCGAGGACAGGTGTGCACACAGGTGTCACCCACCTGCACTTCTCCGGGTGCTCATCACGCTTGTTGTTGAAGTCCAGGGATATCTTCGCATCCAGGCCAATGCCAAAATAATTGTTCATGACACATTTCTCTGTGTAATACTCTCTGCAAAAGGGGTTTCAGAGCAATTAAAACAACCCTGTTTAGCAGCTTCCCAACCTCTAGCAGTTCTTCCTGAAGGCAAAACTCTTTTTTTTTTTTGTAACAGTGTTGAGAAATAATGCATATACCATATAGTTTACTCACTTAAAATGTACAATGAGATTTTGGGGGGCTGTTTTTCATTTTGTTTTATTAATCCTCACCCAAGGATACTTTTCCATTGATATTTAGGGAGTGGAAGGGAGAGGGGGAAAGAGAGAGAAACATCAATGTAAGAGACACACATCGATTGGTTGCCTCCCACACAAACCCCGACCAGGACCGCAGATAGAGCCTGCGACTGAGGTACATGCCCTTGACCAGAATGGAACCTGAGACCCTTCAGTCCGTGGGTCCGACCATCTGAAAACTGAGCCAAACCAGCTAGGACTACAACGAAATTTTGATGCAATCACAGAGTCATGTAACCATTACTACAATCCATTTCAGAATTACAGGATCACCCCAAAAAGAAAGCTCACACCGTTAGCCAGCACTCTCAACCCCTCCCCAGCCCCCGACAACCACTAATCAACTTCTTATCTCTATGGATCTGCCTCCTCTGAACATTTCATAGAAATGGGGTCCCAAAACAACAAGGGGCTCTTGCGTCTGGCTCCCTTCACTGAACAGTGTTCCCAGGGCTCAGGGCCTGGAGGAAGCAGGGCTTCGGGGGCCTGGGAAGTGGACAGGCAGGCCACAGAAGGCCATGGCAGCACAGACAGAATGACCAGGTCCTGGGGTGACGGGTGGCGGCCTGGTGCCCCAGCCTGGGTGGAGGAGGAAAGCAGCTTTGGTCTCCCTAGGTGAAGGAGAAGTCTCCCCAGTCTGAAGAGGAGAGAACAAAGATAGACCAATGGCTGTGGCGGCCAGACTTGGAACCTCAGAGATCTCAGATTAAGAAAACAAACAAAATATGGGGTTGTGGGGGGGAGGGGGGGGCCAGGACACTGCTCACAGGAGGCCTTTTCGAGGAAACAATGTCAGGAAGGGTCCAAACAAGAGCCCAGGCAACCCCGGGAGGGGCCTGGAGTGAGGAGCAGACAGGCCTGTAGGTGGCAGTGGCAGGTCCTAGACGGGATGCCCAAGCACTGGGCAGGCCAGCACGTGGCAACAGGTGTCTGAACAGAGGCAGCTCCCTGGCAACTGGTCTGGCAGGACTGTCACTCTGCGTACTTCCAGCTTCACGTTCCCAAAACCCAGAGTCTCTGTAACCGCACATTTCTCAACAGCTCTCCCCGACCACACCAAACACATGGTTGGCAACTTCTAACCAATCACTACCACCTGTCGCTAACTGCCCAGAACTTGCTATCAGCCAGCAGAAAGGAAAACCTAGAAGAATGGGTTTTCAAACACCATCTGTGTCTGCAATGGCTTGTACACACACAGGAACAGATTCAACTGAACTGCTGTACACACTGCTCACTGCCTCAGGCCAGGGGCAGAGGACACAGTGCGGGAGCACAAAGCAGCTCTGGAACTCTCCTCCCCACACATCTCAGCCCAGGACAGTGTCTCCCTGGGCATCACCAGGAGCTTCCAGCCCAGGGATCTGTGACTGCAGCTCTAACGGGAGCAGACCCCATAGGAGAAAGCAGCAGAACAGCAGGGGGGGTGGGGGGGTGGGGGGTGGGGAGGAAGTAGTCGAGGTTACCAAACAGTGATAATGAAGAACAAGTGGAAAGTTAGTTCCCAACTGGAGTTTCTGAACCTGCCAAAAACTCAGAACATTACATATATTCAGAAGACGCTGCCTCATGACCATCGGAAATGAGCCAGGACAGGCTACATCCCATCGTCCCACAGGCTACATCCCATCGTCCCATTTCTGGGGTTTCCTTACCAGCTGACACCAGCTGGAAAAGGGTCCCCTAGTCAACTGCTCACAAATTACTCCAGTTAATGCCAAGTCACTTTTCTAGGCTCCAGCATTCTTTTACCAACATGCCCCCTTGGTTCATGCCACACTCACAGGTTTTCTGGTTCGGAGTTGAAGGGATCAGCATTAATTAATAAGCGACTGATAACTGAACCGCCAGGCAAGGAACCAGACATCCCCGCGCGAACATCTGTGAGGGAGACAACCCATATTCATGAGACAAAAGCAAACATACTGGTGATAGAAATCAACACCTGTGAGACACGTACAAAAATGGCTTGTGAAGACAGTCCTCATTAAATGTACAAAGCTCCGCCAGAATGAGCTCTTCATACGACTCATCTTAGAACCCAGTCATCCAGCTTTGGAAGGCTACAGTCATGAGAAATAAACACCTTCAAGCCGCCTGCATCAATTTAAAATCTTTAAATCACACATTAAGGCAGAGATGAAACCTATTTTTGAACGTTCTGCCCATCCATGCCTCCAGTAATATCTTTATCACTGGCTACCCAAATGCTCCTCATTTCCGAGGGCTCACTTCCCAAGGGCTTCTGGAATTTTCTTTTTATTTAGTGGAGATTCACTAGAAATTGACAAATCACTTATAGGAGTAGATGGTGTGGCTAGGAGGCCTCCAGACTCTACCTGAAGCTGGTTAAGGGAGCCTTGCTGGCAATTTCAACCCCTTATGGCATTCCTTCCTATGAAGATAAGGTCTGTCACCACTGCCCCGGAGTTGCCTGCACTTCATCCCAGCAAATGAGAGCAAGGGCAGGGAAGAGGACTGGGCCAGCCCTCCCGGCGGCTAACTGCTCCTGCTGCAGTCATACTAGAAACAGAGGCACGACTCCACAGTCCCACCCACAGCCTGCCACCCTCCTTGTTCACTCAGGACAACTATTTTGCCTGCTTCACATGCGTTCCTGGAGCCCCACCCCCCTACCCCCACCTGCGAGGCGATCTGGGTGCCATCTGCCCTTTGTAATGACTAAGAGCACTTTCATACCGTGACCGAACTCTGAATTCTATCTACTTTCCCAAGGACCTATAGACTCTTGGAGGACAGAGACCCGGTCTCGTTTATTCCCACAGACCCAGTGCCGGGCAAAGCGACGGGCCTGACACCCTCCCAGACAGGCTCACCACTGTGCCCACCTGGTGGTGGGAACACTCACTCGGGAAGAGGATCTTCGTGTTCAGCGCTGGCAGGCCATCCCGGCTTCCTGACTGGGGAGGAAGAGAGGCAGAACTCCCTTTGCTGATCAGCTTCTCACATGGGGACTTGGACACTATAAAAACAGGACACAAAGCCACAAGACTGTTCAAAACAAACCATGACTGACTACTGGGAAAGTTCACTAGGGAAATGCCAGGTGGAGGGGCCGGGGGAAGTGAGGAGCTTACAAGCCACTGGTCAGCCCATGTGGAGCTGGTGAGATAAAGAAAGAGGCCCAGAGAGAGAGACAAAGAGGGGACAAGAGGCAAGTGGGTCTGAATGCCTTCAAGAGGGTGAGGCTGGGGCGGGGCACCGAGGGGCTGGACCCTACTCACACTGGGGACGCGTTCTAAGTGGTCATGACCATGGAGTGAACTCCGAGACAGATACCTGTTATTGGCTTGCCTGGGTACAAGGGAGGGGCCATGAACAGCCAGGGGGCAGGGACATTCTCCACACCTGGAGCCTGAGCTGTTCCAGGACAGATAAGGGGCACAGGAAGAGGACCCGTGGGGCTGGGTGATGCCCTGACCTAAATGCCAGGCCAGGCTGGCTCTGGCTGGAACAAATTTCCTATGTTCATGGCATGTGGCTGGCTGCAACCAGGAGGTTCTGAGATCTACTGGGTCTGGGGCACAGGGAGGTTCTGAGCCCTATTGGGTCTGGGGCACAGGGAGGTTCTGAGGAAAGCACACTCCTCAGCAGCAAGGCTCCCCGCTCCCCAGCACCCCCTCCCACCTGCCCCCAGACAAACGACGCACAGCAGGTGGTACAGGGAAAGGCCATGTGTTAAGCTTTCTGAGTGTCATAGGCCCGATCGCAGGACTGAGGGTCACCCAGCTGGCGGCTGTACCTTTGCGGAGACTTCTATGCTTGGCAACCCCGCAGCTCTCACTGTGGCACACGGTGTCCTCTGACTTCAGGTCCTTTCTCTCCTCTGACTCAGAGAGACCTAAGACAATCATCTCCTGTTCTTGGGTCTGGGCATTCTGCTCATCGACAGCTGCATGGAAAGAACGTCCACAGCTCAGCCCAAGGACATTACTGTAGGCAAGGCCAGGCTGATGGAGGTCCTGCTGAACAGACTCCCCTCTTCATCTACCAATTTGATTTTCCTTCAAATGTCCTCTTGGCTACAGCTTAGACCTGAAGCTCCCACCTCACCCACTGTCCCCCTGGGCCTACCACACTGCAAGTACCATGGGCACCGGGCATCGGTGCCAGCTGGCTGGGGAGGAGGGCCCAGAGGCTGAAGATGTGGAAAGAAGGTGAGTGAAAGATTGAGAGCCTAGAGCAGCCCTGGGAGATGTGGTGAGGGCTCCACCTCGTGCATCCACCAGTATGTAGGTAGGAGGTCACGACTTATTCTTCTCACGGAAGCAAGAAGCAGGCTGATCTGCTCAGAGTGAAAAGGTGAGGGCTAGGAAAGCATCTGAAGGGTGTGGACATGTGAAATCGTTTCCGAGGGTAATGACAGACAAGACAGACCCAAGACAAGAAAAAACTTGCCGAGGAGGGATCTGGGGGTCCCGGCAAGGTTGGAGGCAATGAAGTTCACAGGTCAATGTGGTTTTTCAGCATTCTCATCTAAGCTTAGCAAACCGAGTCTGGAGAAAGGGAGTGACTAGCCAGGCAAATCTTTATCCTATGTGGTCTATCTACCTCTCCCAGGCCCCAGGCTGATGGTGGGCAGTCAGCACGCCAGGCCAATGACCTGCCCATGCCCAGGGCACCCTCCACCACTGCAGCAGTCCTGACTCAGACACCATTGTGCACATGGTCCCCCCACTTCTCTGACCACCTCCCTGGGCTCCCCCAACCTCCAACCTCTCTCTGTCCACTGACTTGATGGATGGGGCCCACCTCTCCAGGTGTCCTAAGAGCACCTCAGTTCTAAGCACCACGGCTCTCTCAGAACACACTCCCCCAGAGCAGCCCCTCCTCCAACTGGAGGACACACATCCTGCAGGGCTGCACCCGAGGTTGGTTGGGCAGAGTTCCCACAGGTTAGCTCCCTTCTAGGGAGTGGGTCCCCTATTCAGGGATCAGTTTCTCCAAGGAGCCCCCTGCGTATGCCCATGAGGCACCTTTTCACCAGCCAGGGGCACCCTCCAGCTCTGCCTTTTACTTTCTGGATCCCTGGGTTCTCTTTCCACAGTCTTTACATCAGACCAAGTAGGTGAGCAGGGAGAAACGCTGCAGGCATGCGCTCAGGTAGGAGGTGCTGCCTCCTGTCAGGCAGCCTAGAGATAAACCGCTAGGCCGGAAGTGACCTCGGGCTATCAGGCTTTGACCTACATGGTGGATGCCTTTCCAGCACCATGTTCGGAGGAAACTGGGCGTGCCCAGCACTTGCGTGAAGAAAGCTCCCTTTGTCATTAAGAGACAAGCTACCTTTTTCTGTGTGTTCTATGATCTGACGAATCGCCTTCTTCAGGCTGTTGGCTCTCAGCATGAGCTGTTCCCGAGGCCTGAATATCTGCGGCCGGGCTGGACATGCTGACCCCATCGAGCGGTCCACAGCTGAGCCACAGCTGCTGCCCGTTCCGTCTCCATCTTCTGCCTCCTCAGCAATGGTGGGCGGCGGGGTGGGCAGAGAGGACGAGGCCTGGGACTCGTCATCCAAGGTCTTGAGGAGCGAATCCAGCTTCTCTTTCAGGACAGAGCACTGGACGGGAACAAATGGAGTGGAATGGAGTGCCTCTCATCCCGACACCCTCCCAGTCAGGGGCTCAGGGAACAGACCTTCTTGGCCATGACCTCAGACTCCTCCGAGCTCTCGGTCGTCTTCTCATAGGCCTTTCCCACTCGAGCCACAAAGTCCTTCACCGTCTCGCAGAGCACTCTGGGAGAAAGCGCAGAAAATCGCTTCTAGACACAGTCCTGGCTGCGGACTGGCCCCGTGTGGGCGCCCCTGCCCCCCCCCACCCCCCCACCCCCCGAGGCAGCTGGCACTCACTTCGCTGATGAGATCACCACCGAGTGCTGGTCAGAAGTCAGGATTTTGGAAAGATGGGCCGCGACCGAATCTTCATAGAAGAGAATTTGCTGCACCTACAATTACCCCAAAACAGGGTGGGATCATTGTAGGAAGTTCACCCAGTGAACTCCTCACCCACTGCGCCCGCTAGTCGGGCCTCAGCTCACTTCCTTCAACAATCTGAGACCTGCCAGTGCTATCTGAAAGATGTCAAAGGCTTCATCCAGATGTGGACAGAAGGGCCTTAACAAAAAAGAGCATATTGATAAAGACAAGTATCTCATGTTTCTTTGTCCTTTAGCCTGAGATTCACCACCAGCAGCCTGTGCTAGGAACTAGGATCTTCTATCCTGTTTCCATAGGCAACACTCCTTAACTCAGGTTCCATTCACAGCAGACAACACATCTGTCTACCTGGTTGGGAATGTGGCCTGGCCCATCTCCTTCTCTCAATGTAAGTTCCCCCTTCCTCACTCATCTCTGCCTGCTGAAATGGGAGATCTGATGCTGTGTAATCCCTAGTCCCTAGCCCAGGGCCAACAAACTTTACTATCAGCTAGACTGTACACATAGTCTTCCTCTCTTGAAAGGTACAGACCATTCTCTGCTCACAGGTCATGTCAAAGCAGGCCCAGGAAGATGTGGGTGGGGGCCAGTTTGCCAATCGCTGATCTAGCCCACTGTCCTTGACCCTGCTGGTGAGCAGACGGCCCCTGGCAGAGTTCTCTCTCCTGCTCAGCCAGCAGCCAGCTTGCCCAGTGGGGATGAGCACAGCTATGTGCCAGGACTACACTACTGCAGGATATAAAATAAGGAAGGCAAAGTTTAGGCCCTTATGAACTATTAAGACATAATAGCCCTAAAACAAAAAGAAAAGTGAATGGTTGAACTGGCATAGCTAGCTGCAAAGGGAGGCAACGAAGAGGATGATGGGGCAGCAGCAGGTGCAGGGAGGGTGGGAAGTCCTAGGGAAGTGTCACCACGAAGGCCCCAAATCCTGATGACAACTGGGAAGCCTCCATCCAGATGACCCAAAACCTGGGGAGGTCAGAGTCCATGTGGCTCCACCTCAACCTTGAGCTGACCCTGAACTCCTCTAACCTAGGGCTGGGCATGAGAGCACTGGGGTGCAGGGGAGGGGAGGGAAGGGGAGGGGAGGTAACCGGAAAATACCTCGGAACCCTCGCTGAAGTCCTCGGTGACGACGGTAGAAGAGGAGGCCTGCCGGGGCAGTTTAGTCTCGTAGGCCATGACACTCCACCTGCACACAAAGGCAGCTCCCAGCAGGTTGCTCCACCTCCCAGGCAGGCCCTACACCTCCCTCCTTGTGTCCTGGAGACCTGACCTTACAACAATTCTAACTTCATCTGTAAGTCCTTTATCTTGGCTGTGTCCCTAACTTGGCTCCTCCCATAGCTAAGAAAAAATGCTACACCAGTTAGTCACTATGGCTCCAGTGATGGAAGAGAAAGCCAGCAGCCAGCTCTTCATCAAATGCACACCATGGGAGGGGCAGCTGAGTGGATGCGTGATCAAACCTGCTCATGGCAACCACGGATAGTGAAGAACATGAGCATTTTCAATGACACCAATCCACCACAGGCTCTGGTTAGCAGGATTTCAGACATGAGTCAGAACTCAAAGCAGTTCACCCAAGAAGGATGCCAAAGTGTTATTAAACACACAGAGACTATGTATCCAATACTTAAGATCCTTCTAGGAACAGAACATGAGAAAATGGGGTTGCTCAATTATGGAGAATGAGCACTCTACTGATAGGCATCAGATGACGGCTGCAATGGCTCAAGGGGACAGAGCCACCTTCTTTAATAGCCCCAGTGGATCAGGCTTGGCCTCAAGAGAAGACCTCAGCACTCAGTTCATAACCTGTCTGTTATCTTTTTCATAATCCTGGTCAAAACTTAACTCCCAGGAAAAAAGAATTCCGGCTCAGGTCAAATTTTTACAACTATTTGTCAAAGGCCTATGGTTCGCAGGGACCCCAGGTAAGAACAGCTGGTCGAGGTGACCTGTCTCCAACCAGCTCCTGTGGTGCAGCACGAGAATGCGCCCCACTCACCTGTCCAGCATCTTGGTGCTGGCTCTTTCCAGCTTCTCCAGGATCTGCGGGAGCTGGGTGTCATCGTCACAGGCCGAGCCCCAGCCTAACACGCGAGCCAGGTCATTCCCTGTGCCCAGGGGCAGCACTCCCAGCTGACACTGGCAGAACACAGTGGGAAGATACAGTATTGAGCCCCCTCCTCTTTGCTGACAATGGTGGCTGAACTCAGTGGAAGAGACCTGCTCCAAAAGGAGTGGGGCTTCCATCCCAGGCAGAGCCACAGAGCCCACGGCCTTTCTAATCCCACAGAAAAGTCCTCCCTCTCCACAAGCTGTATCTCACATGTTGCTACATTTTAACTACCCTCTAGTACAGTGGTTCTCAACCTTCTGGCCCTTTAAATACAGTTCCTCATGTTGTGACCCCAACCATAAGATTATTTTCGTTGCTACTTCATAACTGTAATGTTGCTACTGTTATGAATCGTAATGTAAATATCTGATATGCAGGATGGTCTTAGGCGACCCCTGTGAAAGGGTCGTTCGACCGCCAAAGGGGTCGCGACCCACAGGTTGAGAACCACTGCTCTAGTACCTCTCTGATCTACATTTCCCAAATCCCCTCCCCTCCCATTTTACAGCTATGGCCACAGTCCTGTCTCTGACTGTTGAGTGTCTGACCCCCTGAAGAATGATTCTGTAACTCCCACCGCTTGTCCCTCCATCCACTGCATCTGACTCACTGAAGCCAAGCTCATCTTCTAAAGACACCACTAGCGTCATCTTACTCCTCCAAAAACATTGGCAATGGCTTCTAAGTCCCATCAGAACAGGCACCAGGACATCCAGTCTGGCCACAAAACTCAAACACACCCAGTGCTCAGCCAACATACCTCTACATGCTATTCCCCAGAGAGACCACCCCCCCTGCACTGCTCAGGCCTCAACCCTCCCCTTGGAATTCCCACCCCAGAGCTCCCACCACATCAAGTCAGTCCTCAGGAAGCTCCCTAGACACTGGCTGCCGAGACCTCTCCACCTCCATCGTCTACATGCAGTGTGCAGGGTGGGTCACTGGTCCTAATAACTGCACACCCAATGGTCACCTGCTCCAGCCACAAGGGAGGCCCTGCCACCCTGTGGGGGACAGCAAGCTGGAGGGTGAGGACCAGGAGCCCGAGCACTAGGTGAAGAGGTCCTGGCACTGGCTCCCTGGAACCTAAAAGAAAAGGCACAAGCAGTGGAGGTGAAGGCATGGAGGTGACAGTAATGGTCCAGCTGGAGAGGTGACCCCCTGCCAAGTCAGAGTTCCATCAAGAGGAGGGTAGTGAGGAAAAAGTCAGAGAAGCAGAAAAGGAAGAGGGAGCCAAACTGGGACCCTAGCAAGCTGTGTTATGAAGTCTGGACTTTGTCCTAAAGACAAGGGGCCACCAAAGAACACTTAGGGGGGGTTCATGGGCAGAACTGCCCATGGTGAAAGTCCCCGGGGAGGGTGGACGGCAGCACACAGGGGCTAGCTTAGACACTCTGGGGTGGCAGGACTGAGCCCAGCAACTAAGTAGAAATGAGGAGGGAGGGCAAGGGAAGAATCAAGAATGACCAACTGCCAAATCTCTGGCTTGGATGTCTGGTGGATGATAATTTTCAGACTCTAAGGAAAGAAAGGGGGCGGGCAGGGCTGAGTGGTGCTCAGTGCTGGAAATGTTGGGCTTGAGGTGGGAAGGGGCAGCCAGGAAGACGAGAAACACCAAGGAAAGCTAGGGGAAAGATGGCTGACCAGAGAATCAAGTGCCACAGAGAAGCCAAAGGAGATAGTGCTCACTGAACTCAGCTGAGTGGATGAAACCTGCCTTCCTGATTAGTGACAAACTTGTAGATCATCCTGGAAGTCAACAGAACACAGGACCTAAGTGTAGTGCTCTAACTTTACCACTAGAGGGCAGCATTCTCTTTCCTGAGCAAGTGGCCTTGCTGGAGAGTTCACTGTCCAACTTCCAACATCATTTTAGTGCCAGAGGCTAAAAAATGCCTAAAAACAGTCCACCCCACCTGAGAGTCAGGTCGAAGATCTGGAAAAAAGTATGTTGAAAGCAAATGACAAACTAGGAAAAAATATCACCAACAAAGAGTTTACACCCCTAATATGACAATAATCCTTAAAAATTAAAATTTTTTAATTTTTTTAAAGGCAAATACCCCAATTGAAATGTAGGCAAGGAACATAAACAGGTAACTCACTTAAAAAGTCATGATTAGCCCGGATGGCGAGGCTCAGTGGTTGAGCATCGACCTATGAACCAGGAGGTGATGGTTCGATTCCCAGTCATGGCATATGCCCAGGTGGTGCGTGCAGGAGGCAACCAATCAATGATTCTCTCTCATCATTGATGTTTCTATCTCTCTCTCTCCCTCTCTCTTCCTCTCTGAAATCAATAAAAATATATTGAAAAAAGAAAAAGAAAAAAAATTCACGGTTAATTGAGATGTTTGATTTCACCAGTAGTGAAGAAATAAAAAAATAAGACATACCCTGGAGAGCAGGGACAGAAATAGACTTATTGGAACTGCAAGTCACAGTTAGGCTTCCTTGGACCTCGCTCTATCAACAACAGACTCGTATCACCCATGCTGTTCCGTGCCTGCACTTTATAAACCAGCATGTTGTGGCATCTTGCACTCACCCCCTGGCAGGAAATGGAGATCTGCGGGTGGTTTCCGCCTGGCAAAGCTCTGCGCTAAGCTAGCTCACTCCCCCACTGATGATCCCCTACCTGGGCATTCATAACGACTACTGGTGAAAATCATACAGACCCTTTCCCAGCTATGCTCTTTCAAAGAGCGTCCAACCTTTAGACTCTGATCTGTACTGCCACACTGCTGTCCTTCCAGACTGCACCAATCTCATTTCCTGATGCCACAAAAAACTGTCCTTTCCCACACCTGTCCGTTGTTCATCTTATTCGTTTTTGCCCAACTAAGTAGACAAAAAGGTCATACCTTTACTTCTAACTGTGAAGTTCCTGTTCCCCAGCCCCAGCCCCAGCCCCAGCCCCCGGCCCCATGATACTATCGAGCTACCAGCTCTTCCCTTCCAGACCTTAGCTGACCCCTGCCTGGGAACAGTACTCCAAGGGGACATGGAGTGTCACCAAGACAGCCCAGCTTCTCTCTAACTGTGACATCACCCCCCCACCCCCACCCCATTCCCAGGGCTGGGCTCCTCCACATTCAGGCACCTGTTTGTGAAGATTGAGGCTGTCGATTTCAGAGAGGACCCAGCCAACACTGCCATCCCCACCACAAACCAGAATCCGGAATGTATCAAACTTCTGGAATAAGCGTAAGCTGCAAAGAAAAGAGAATGTAATGAGATGAGGTGCATTCTAAATGACAAATGATGGCAGTTAGTCCTGGGCGAGGGCCCCGTCTGTGGTCCTCAGGCCGACCTTGCACCTTCCCTGTGATTAAGTCCCTCAGAGGCAGAGCCCAGGTGCTCAGACTCAGCCTGCTGGGGCCACTGGGCACCTGAGAGCAAAAGCCTCCCACCCGAGGCCTCTGTGCCCATTACCCCCTCGCCTAGTCCCCACGCCCCACTTGCCTAGTCCTCACACACAGCCAGAACCTGCATGGGCAGCTGAGGAGCCCAAGAAGCACAATTATGTCCACTTTACCTTCCCGCTGGGCCACTGCATCCTCCCAGGTGATGTGACCCATCCCTCCTCCCCACGTGACCCACCTCCATCTGCTTCCCGAGCTCTTCGTGGTCACCTGCCCCTCGCATGTAGTGTCCCCCTCTGCTCACTCCTCACCCACTTCCTGAGTGGCCTGATCCAAGTTTTGGCTTCAGAGACCACACATATGCCGATGACCCTGAATGACCCTAAACCATGACCTCCAGGCTTTCCTGAAGGACAATACTTGCACTTGTCTACCAAAAGAGTCACTCGGGTGTCCTAGGTTCCCCTCCTGGGAAAATAGCAGAGCTACCATCAAAACAGTCACCAGACCAGACCCCGCTGTCCCGTCCACCATTGCTTCTCTCATAAGCACTACATGAGCCTTCTTCCTAGCTCACGTCTCCTGCGAATACCTCTGATTGCTACCAGTATGATCTTCCCTAATCAAGTCTTGTCCAGTGTCTCACTTTAACTAGTTGCCACTTGTTTCCAGGAAAGGTTCCAACCTCTCGGCCAGCACCCACAACCCTCCCTGGCCAGCAGCTGACATTCCACTGTCTTCTCACCTCTTGGCACACACAGTACCTTCTGCCCAACAGGCTCCAAACCTCCCTCCCCCCATGACACCAATTCTCCTCAAACACTGGCTCAGGGAGAAACTGAGAAACCCCGATTTGATTTATAAACTCCTCCTGTGGTTCTCACAGAATCTGCATGTCTCCCTGTCATGGTGACAGACACGCTGTCGTGTGACCTTGACTATGTGTCCATGTGCTGCACTCCCGGCAGGCAGGGGCCCACCTTAGTAGGCCTTCCATCTAGCTGAATCTGAGCCAGAGGACGTCCTGGAAAGACAAAAGGGAATGAGGGATGCACGTGACTTAGGGAATAAACATAGGTGAGGTTCTGAAGCAGCAAGGCTGCCTCTGACTGTCAGGGTGCTCCTCTGAGAACACTGACCTCTCCCAGGCCTCCTGCTCTCCTAGGACAGGTGACACATCAAGGGCAGGAATCAAGAAAATGAAACAGTGTGCCTAAGTTTGTTTATAAAGTGTGAGATCGAAGCTGCTTCCCAGAAATAAGAGTTTACTAAACCAACTGCCCCTGTGCCTTTGTGGGGCGCCGTCTCCTACACAACACCACCCCAAACACGGGTCTGCATGCAGCCAAGGAATATTTGGTTCTTCTCAAGTTCCCTGTCCAAAGCCATTCCACAGCATTCGTCCAACACTCTCGGTGCCTCGCTGAGTGAACCTGTTTAGTATATCAGGACAAGGGCTGTCTGATCCCTTCACTACCCCCCTCCCCATTTTTTAATCCTCACCTGAGGATATGTCTATTGCTTTCAGAGAGAGAGAAAGAGAGAAACATCAATAGGTTGCCTCCCATATGCACCCCAACCAGGGATCAAACCCAAAATCTAGGTATGTTCCCTGACCGGGGATTGAACCCTCACCTTTTTTGGTGTATGGGACAATCCTCTGAGCCACCCGGCCAGAGCACTGGCCCCATTTTTTAACTAAAAAGATTCCTTTCTAAACCCAGCGGTGAATATGTCATTCAGTTAACTGAGTCCACCTATCTACATCTCGGGAGTGCTGCCTGGAGGGAGCAGGCTAGAAAGTTGCCATGGGACTTTTCTCCAGCAGCTACTGCCATGGGAACACCCCCACATCAGGCCCTGGGGGTATGTGCACATCCTCTCCCCGCCCCGCAGCTCCTGTTACATCAGCCCCTGCTCCAAACACAGCACCCTCCCAGAAAACACAAACCAGAGAACAGGCCCCCAAGCAGTTCCCACTACAAATACCCTGTGATCCATCCCCTCACAAGCTAGGAGGCTTACAGCGCTGACCTTGAACTGCTGCTTCCAAATGAGGACGGAGTTAGTTCAAACGACAAAATTTACAGAAGCAAATGTCTTTACAAACCTATAGTATGCACAAAACTAGGAAGAAGACACATCAGCTCTCCAGCTACTTGGGCCCTCGCACGTCTGCATGTGTCACTGCACCTGCAAGGTGAGCATCTTCTTGTGCCTCCAAAATGAAAACTCTCTTGTTTGGCCTCCTTGGAGGAAAGTCTCCCCAATACTAAGCAGCCACTGAAAGCCACAAAGCAAGTCTGTAACCACTGACATCAGAAAACGCCCACACGATTGCATGCTGACACCCTTAAACAGTATACTGCACAATGCCAGGCAACAATGCACCACATTCAGTTCAAAAGTGTGTGTGCACGCCTGAAATATACATTTGAAAATTGGAAGGACACCCAACTCTATTAACTATTGAGTGGGTACCTCTGCGAGTAGAATTTGGGGAACGAGGGGGTGATTCAAGAAACACGGCCTTTATTTCCTATTTAAAAATGTATGTTTGAATCTCTTAATAATAAACATGCATTATCTTCAAAAAATGTTTAAACTCCAAGAAAGATCTATTTTACAAGCTTACCCAAGGTGTGGCCCTCCGTTCATGAGGTCAAAAACCTGGGCAGGGTTCAGCAGCTGTTTGAATCTTCTGAGGAACTTCACGCCCTGGTTGTCCCCACTTTTTGAATTGACGAAGACTAACAAGGGGCTTGTGCAGGACGGAGGACATGTGGCCTTCCAGAAGCCTGGATTGAGAACGGAAAAGGGCAGAGGAAGACTAAAAGCCATGAAAGACAGATGGGCATGCCTGATCCTGTAGGAAGTAATCACCCGAGGGCCCTGTAACTTACACAGAACCAGCAAGAGTTAATCAGCATATTTCCACATCGCCGTTATCCCTACAGAAGAGAGTGAGTGCCCATCCAGTCTGACTTCATATTTACAAGGATTCTAAATTTCAGAAAGAAGGGGCACCGCACTGCTCTTTCACTCTTGCTCTTATTCTGAAGAGCTGATTTCCTCCCGGATATAGGCCCCACTTTCCCACCTTTCCAACAAACACTACTACAAGCATGTCAAACTCGTGGCCAGAGGGTTTGCCATGCTTGACTTACTAATGTGCATCATCAAACATGCTCTGGACAAGTGCCAACAGCATGGAATCACATGCTATTTAATACCTGCTACTAGATGGAGACCAGCGGACTTAGCACATAATTTCAATGGCTCACAGCAGAGACAGACACAAGTCTTTGACTCGGTGTCTACTCACAGCCTACTGGATCCATCACCTTTAACCAAGGTACCAGCCTTGAGTTCTAAGCCTGCCCAGTGGCCATCAGGACACCATTGACCACCTTTGTACATAAGTTCTCTCCCCTGATGGCTGGGCCTGACCTCTTCCCCACCACATCTCAAAATCACCAACAGAGCCTTTTAGAGTGAGGAAGGAGAATGCACGAGGGAGAGCATGAGGAACGGGATAGGCCAGGAGAGAGCCTGATACCCACCATCGGAATCGATGCTGTTGAGAGCTGTGGGAGGGATGACCGACACTTTACACAGGCCCAGCGGGCACTTGGTCACTAAGGATTCCTTACACGCCGTGTGTACCTGGAACAAGAATCCATGCATCACAAGGGGTCACAGCCTCCTTCACATATGGCCTACAGTTGCAGGAGGAATGGGCTATTCCCATCGAGGAACTGACAGGATTCAGGAGAGGGCCGCGCTCACTCACCATGGCCTTGCACCACAGGCAGCGCCAGTCCTGCAGACGCAGCACGCTGCCACAGGTCTTGTCACACACCGTGCACTTGGCACTCACAGGCAGATTTCCTTCCAGCCACTGGTGAGGCATGGCAATCTGCAGACCAAGCAGAGACATGCACTAGGGACATGTCCCAGCACCCCACACAGGGGCACAGAAGACCTTGGGCAAAGATGCTCCAAAATGACTTCAACCAAGACACTTTTCTCACCACAAGCAGAGGGAGAACAGGGTTGTCCCACCCACACTCCTACCCCGGGCACAGCATGACTCACAGGGACTGGACAGAGCTCGGCAGCACAAAAGCCCACAGTGAGCCCCCAAATGCAGAGTGGGAGCAACTCAAAACCTCAAGGAAGAGAAATGAGGGAGAGGAGAGCCACAATAGTTTGACCAGTGCCCCTTTGCGTACCCCGTCCTCATCCTCAATGATGTCCTTCCCGATGGAGGCCAGTGTGGTCCACTTGCAGTTATTGGTTGCACGCACAGCACACCGCTTGTGGGCCTTGAACTTGCACACTGTGAGAGAATGAACACATGAACCTTCAAGCCTCATTCATGGCAGCTGCTTCCTGTGCTTGAGGAGATGGTCCAGTGGAACTGCCCAAGCCTCCTGGACAGTTGGAACAAACAGACAGCACTCCCTGTGTTATGAACTAACTACTGGGACATAGGTAGGGACTGATCTCGGTGAGACTAGACACCCAGTATAGCCAGGAGTCGGCAGACCTTCTGGAAAGGGCCAGAGAGTAACCAGTTCAGTCTCTATCCCAACTGCTCACCCTGCCCCTGCAGCCCAAGGACCGCCATGAACCATGCTTCACATATGGACACTGAAATGTCCATTTCTTGACTTTCTGTGTCACAAAATAGTCATCTTCTTTTGACTTTTTCCAACCATTTAAAAATGTAAAACCAGCCCTAACTGGTTTGGCTCAGTGGATAGAGCATTGGCCTGCGGACTGAAAGGTCCCAGGTTCGATTCCGGTCAAGGGCATGTACCTTGGTTGCGGGCACATCCCCAGTAGGAGGTGTGCAGGAGGCAGCTGATCGATGTTTCTCTCTCATTGATGTTTCTAACTCTCTATCCCTCTCCCTTCCTCTATGTAAAATATCAATAAAATATATATTTAAAAATAATAATAATAAAAATAAAAATGTAAAACCAGCCCAGTCAGTGGTGGCTCAGTTGGTTGAATGTCGACCCACAAACCAAGAGATCGTGGGTTCGATTCCTAGTCAGGGAAGATGCCCAAGTTGCCGGCTGGATTCCCAGTGGGGGGCATGTAAGAGGTGGACAAATTATGTTTCTCTCTCATCAATGTTTCTATTTCTCTATCCCTCTCCCTTCCTCTCTAAAATCAATAAAAACATTCTTTTTTAAATGTAAAACCCTTTTTAATCTCGCAAGTTGCATAGAAACAGGGGACAGGTGGGATCTGGCCCGAGGAAGACAGTTTGCCTTTCTCTGATCCTGCCCAAACACTGGAACCCTGCCCTCTAGATCTAGAAGACAACTTTCAATCCATTTATCCACAGCCCAATTCACCCCAAGAGGGGGTATAACTACACTGGGGCTGACAGTTTCAACTCTTTCCCTCCGTGGCCTCTACTTTCTTCTCCATGTCTCCTTATTACTGCCTCCCTTCTTTCCTTTGATCCATTACTATAAAAAAGAACTTATCAAAGACTCCTCAGTAGGCACAATAAATAAGCATGGGGTCACAGCAATCGCTTCACTTCTGACGATGTGGGGTGACTACATTTGGACCTCTAGGGTCAGACCACCTTTCCCAGCAGATAACACATCGTCCACACCTTCACAGGACAGTCCATGGGACGTGACCCCAGACAGAGCCTCGCGGCACACGTTGCAATAGGTCGGCCTCGCGTGGGAACAGGCGTACCAATTGTGCATCCCTGAGAAGTGGTCCATGCTGTACTGGGTCGGCTGGAAGAAGAAAATAAAGGCAGCAAAGAGAAGGTGAACCTCTGACATTCTTAAATGTGGTAACTTAAACAGGAATCAATAAAGTATCCAGAGGAGGAGAGGAGGAAGGTTATAAAAGACAGGGTCGCAGTACGATGGGGCGACCTTAGTTTACAAGGACCATGCTGAGAACGCAAGTCCAGAGCTGTACGATCCACATATGAGAGACACCCAGACAGCAGCAAACTAAGGAAAGGGCAACAAGAAGAGTTTCTTTCTACCTCAAAATGCTCCCTGTTCTGGACAGTCTTCAGCGCTGCAATCCAATCTTCCATTTCTTTCCTGTTGTCAGCACACAGGATGAGTTTCCTACATGGAGTGATAACCTAAAGAAAGGAACATATTCAACAAATCTATGAACAAAATACAAATGCTAACAACTATAAAAACATCTTAAAAACCTACTTTCACCATATATATTTTAGTGAAAAATAACTGCTTCATTCAAATACTCAATTGAACAGAGCATAAAAATGGTTATCATGAATCACTAAAAAACAAGAACAATCTCAAACCAAAAGACAATCATATTTAGGTTATACATTCACCAAAAATCAACTTAAGTGGACACTTATGATCTACTTACTACTCAGGCACAGTAATAAGCCATAGGAAAAAATTTTTAAAGGAATAGAAACAGCTGTTATTGTTCTAAAGCGCTCATGGGGTGACATCCTGCACTGACATAGTTCAGGGACAGTCTGGTCCAAGTTACTCAAAGAACAGGGTGGGCATTTCACATGTACCACATGTAAGTGTTCTCACACAAGACCTTTTAATACATGACAATGGAATAACAGCCAGCTACTGCATGCAGGGCCTGAGCAACATAACTGAACCTGGTAATAATCAACAACTAGAAATTATACCCACAACATATAAAAAAGTCTTTATACACCAACAGAAGAAATCTTTCTTACAGAAAAAAGGCTATAAATTTACATTTCACAGAAGAAATACAAAATGGCTAATAAACAAAAAGATGCTTAATTAACCACTCTAGCCATCAGGGAATGCAAATGAAAATAACAAATTATTTTTCACCTAATAGATTGGCAAAGTTTTAAAAGATGATATTCCAGTGTTTTCAAAGATATGGGGGGGCGGGGGGGGCGGGGGCGGGAAGAGTTCTCCTGAAGTACTGACAGGAGGTAAACAGCATATAAACTTTATAGAGAAAAACTGGCCCTAGCTGGTTTGGCCGATAGATGTCAGCCTATGGACTGAAGGGTCCCAGGTTCAATTCCAGTCAAGGGCGCATGCCCAGTTTGTGGGCTCAATCCCCAGTATGGGGCATGCAGGAGGCAGCCAATCAATGATTCTCTCTTATCATTGGTGTTTTTCTCTCTCCCCCTTCTCCCTTCCTCTCTGAAATAAATAAAAATATAGTTTTAAAAAATTATTTTTAAAAAAGGGTAGGAAAAGAAAAACTGACCATGTCTATTAAAATTTTTTTAAGTTATAGCCTTTTACTTAATTTTGTTTTATAATGATGTAAAGTATCTACATGGTTCCAAAGTCAAATCTACAAAATATAGTACATTCAAAAGTCTAGCTTTGTATCTGTTCCTTCCATCCTGGTTCCCTCCCTATGCCAAAGGAGCCCTAAAAATAAATAAACAAAACTACGGTTTATCATTCCATGTGTAAGATATTTGCTAATACATGTGTTAGCACAATTCTCTTTAGAAGCAGTAGCACACCACAGACGCTCTTCTCCTCCTCTGCTTTTCCCTCTGAGTATAAGACCCTGCCCTCACTCCTTAGCAGCATGCAGTGTTTCCTTGGTCTTTCTTGTAGCTGTACCCAGTCTGTTCAACCCGTTCCCTATTAATGGGTATTATGTTGTTGAAAAGCCTTTGGCATGTCAAAAGTGCCGAAATGCACAGCCTTTACACAGATCTTTTCATATGTACCAGTGTATTGCGGTGACAGAGTAAATGCATATGTAATTTTGTAGCTATTGCCAAATTCCCCTCTGCAGGGGCTGTGCCATTCTGCATTCCCATCTGCAGTATTAGAGAAACGGCAGCTTTCCCAGGGATTCACCAATGAAGTATGTTATTTAACTTCTGGATTTCTGCTGTTTTGTAGATTATCTCTTCTGTGATTTCCATAAACTACCCACAAAGCTTAACCAGAGAAAGGGATAATCAGAAGTGAGTCACAGATGCAGGGTACTGTTCATTCTTTTAGGTAACCAGGGTAACTGGGATAACTACACAAAGAGGGCCAGGCTGGGTGTAGAAAGAGGCGAAGCTAGAGGAAGGTGAAGGGAGCCTGAAAGACAGAAAACAGAAGACTGGAGAAGTGAGTGCCCTCCAGAGTGAGGGTGGGGGGTGGGAGCCACTGTCTCTGAAGCTTCAAAAGCACCACATATAGCCTATATCCCAGCACTGAACCTACCCATCCACCCAGCAAACACCTGCTGAGTGTCTCAAAGACCATGACAAGCCAAGGTTCCTGCTCACAAAGAACTCACCCCGGGCAAAAAGGACATTTCAGAAACTGACATGTGCCATGAGGACAAAGCAGATCATGGGAATGGGGCTGATGGGTGCTTTGGAGGGTGGTCAGAAAAGGCCATAAGACAGCTGGGCAATAGACAAGGCCTTGGGTCAGTGCTTAAGGACTTTTCATCAGTAACTATAAAATCTCAGCAAACACTTCTTTTTATTCACTCCGGGGTGAGTTTTAATATTTGAACATTTTTATCAGTATAATAAATACAATTTCAAAAATATAATACAATTTATTTTGCATAACTTGGGGATTTTTTTTAAATATGTTTTTTATTGATTTTTTTCACAGAGAGGAAGGGAGAGGGATAGAGAGTTGGAAACATCGATGAGAGAGAAACATCGATCAGCTGCCTCCTGCACACCGCACACCCCCTACTGGGGATGTGCCCGCAACCAAGGTACATGCCCTTGACCGGAATCGAACCTGGGACATTTCAGTCTGCAGGCCGACGCTCTATCCACTGAGCCAAAAGGGGATTTTATTGGGGGTTATGCAATAAGGTATTTACAGAAGAGAACAATGAGATTTTTCATGTCCTGTTCTATTTTAAGCCTTGTTTCCACTACTCCCGTGACAACCTGTACAAGATCAAGTGTGCATGTTATTCCAGAACTCAGCTCTGTGGTCGGAGCAGGTGGACCTTTGGGCCCTCCCTCTCCCACATGCCGAAGGAAGGAGGGGGGTTACTGGAATAGCTTCGTGGGCACTAGCACCACTGGACAGCAAGTTATAGACAAAACTGTTATGTTTAAAGATGGTGACTTAATGGAACAAATGATAAATGATGTCATTTCCTCAATCTGTGCAGTTATTTACAGGGAGTAAACACTGACCAACAGATAAATGTCTAAGAACCTGGTTTTCAGCTATTTCAAGAAACACTTGTGCCTGTTGGAAGCCTCAGACCTGGCCACTGACTGGTTAGGAAACGTGGGAAGACTGTCTTATTTTCTCTTCTGGAAATGGGGGGTGATAAAAGCTAACTGACAGGGCTGTTATTAGATTAAATGGAACCAAATGTGGACAGAACCAAGCATGGGACCCAACACATAGTGTTCAGGACACATCCTGAGTCCAAAGCCCTCACAAGCTGTGCAACTTGGAACAGCTGCTTCCCCTCCCTGTGCCTCCATCTGCTCATCTGAAAACTGGGGCTACTAATGGTGAGGACACATACCAGGCTGTTGTGAGGTTCTAGGCGGGGACCCGGAAGTGCTGAGAACAGTGCTCACGTCTAAGCGCGTCCCACTGTCACTCTCAGTGCTATTTCAGGCTCTTCCCTGTGGACCAACCTTTCTGAGGCCATTCTGGGGCCAAGAGTCCACCTCCCAGATTATGAGAATCATCAGAGAAGACTCCCACCCACTAAATAAAAAGCAACCAGTCAATGTGTCTCTCACATTGAACCAGTCGATGTGTCTCTCACATTGATGTTTCTCTGTTTCTCTCTCTCCCCCCTCCTCCTCCTCCTCCTCCTCTACACTCTCTGAAAAGCAATGGAAAAAATATCCTCAGGAGAGGATTCACACACACACACAAAAATCAGTCTCTGCCTCTGTCTGGTCACACTCTGCCACCTGAGACAGAATCCATGCTTCGTAGCCACCCACGGACCAGGCATGACTCCTCTCCTTATCCCCAATCGCCTTCAAGCCCAGGAGAAGCCTCCCAGACACCAGGGAGCAGTCTGCACACCTCAGATACCCAGGACTGAGAGTGAGACAGGTGAGGCTGGGAGGGCCTCCTCGGGAGGAAAGGGAAGTGAGAGCTTTCTAAGAGAGATGTCTTGGGCAGGGCTCCCTATTCAGTCCCTTGATTTGGGAACAGAGCAGCCAGGACAGGACCCAGGAGAGAAGCAGGTGCTGGAAGAGACCTTCAGGTGATTCCCTCCTGGCTGCTCACCACATCACCAAAAGAAGGCAGGATTTAGAGGAGACACTCTAAGGAATAATAAGAGTGTCCCTTCATTTGGACTGCAGCCAATACCATAACTCCTAGAAACTAAAGATGGTACGAGAAAGCTAGAACTATCCCTAAAATTGAGCTTTCATACAGGAAAAGCTTTGCAGACCAAAGAATGTTTTTGGTCTATATTTTTCAAGCAAAGTTTTAACGTAAAAAAATGGCTCACATAACTAAATCAACTTAAAATTTAAATGCAAATTAAAACCAGGGTAATACCGTGAATGTGACAGGACAAGTCAGTGACATCCCAGACTCAGCGGGCCAGGGTCCATGGCTGGAATAAGCAGACTTGATACCAAGGGAAGGAGCAGAGTGGTACCACAGAGCAAGACAGCTACATGGAAACCCACAAGCTTGAGAGAAAGCACACCCCAGGCCTTGAAGCTGAAAGGACAAGAGACAGAGGGAAACAGAAAGGAAGGGGAAAGAGAGAAATGGTAAAAAGCATTTCTCACATAATTCCCTGAGGCAAGCTAGAAGAGCAGTTAGTGGACTTTAATTCTTACTCTTGCTGGAATCCTGATGGTAAAAGCATTTAAAAATCAGTAAGAAAAAAAGCAGAACAACTAAGAAAAAAATGAACAAAAACTTGAACCATTATTTCATCACAGTTGTTTCACAAAAGGCCGGAAAGCCACATGGAGAGGTGCTCCACTTCACAAGTCATCTGGAAAATGAAAATTAAAACCCCGGCATGTTCACAAGGTGGCAACACTAACAAGACAGATATCCAGGATTGGTGAGGATGCGGAACACCCTGAACTCTCACATGCTGGTGGGAAGGCGGTTCGTTGCAATTACTGTGGAAAACAGTAAAGCTGACTTTATATTCACCCCA